AGCCCAGGAGTTTGAGGTTGCTGTGAGCTAGGCTGATACGGCACTCTAGCTTGAGCAACAGAGTGAGACTCTTGCCTAAAAACAAAACAAAACAAAACAAAACAACAAAAAAAAACAATACTATAACTTTGAATCATAAAGCTCATTTTTCTAATTTTTTATTGCTATTTTATACACATGCAGAAAAATACACAAAAAAGTAGCATCCCGGAAGTCTCCCTGCACCTCTTCCCAATTCCTACCTCTTACGTTCCCCAAAGGTAAAAATTATTCTGACTTCTAACATTTTAGATTAGCTTTGCCAGTTTTTGCCTGGTTTTTGCTTAACATTGTTTCTGAAACATATCCATGTTGTTTTTGCATATATATTTTACTTTTATGACTATCTAGCATCTATTGTGTGAATATTTCATAAATTATTTATCCATTTCACCTGTGGGACTGACTTTACTTGAATCTTTACTTGAATTGTTTTCAATTTTAGCTATTATAAATAATACCACTAAGAACACTCATATAAATGCCTTTTGCACTTACATTCGCTGCTAGAAGTAGAACTACTAAATCGTAGGAAATGCCTATATTCAGCTTTAGTAGATACCGCTAGAACAGTTTTCCAAAATGAGTTATCAATTGGAGTATATGAGAGTTTGTGTTGTTCCACATCCTCTCTAGCAGCTGTCAGTCATTTTAATTTTAGCAGCTCTAGGGACTGTGTGGCAGTATCTCATTGTAGTTTATTAATAATTTGTATTTGATGAATAATGAGGTTGCAAATCTTTTCCTATGTTTATTGGCTATTTGGACATCCTCTTTTGTGAAGTACCTGTTTGGGTTTCTTGTCCATTATTTAACTGCACTGTCTATATTTTTATTATAGATTTGCAGGTCTTTTTATAAAAGCCCCTTGTCAGTTATAGGAGGTTTTCTTTTTGACACAATAGTGTCTTTTTGATGAACCCAAGTTCTTAATTTTAACATACACTGATTTATCAATCTTTTATAGTTGAACGACACAGGGGTTAGGGACACCAATCCTCCAGGTAGTTGAAAATCTGTGTACAATTTTGACTCTCTCAATCCTACTGTTGACCAGAAACTTTACCAATAACATAGTCAATTAACAAATATTTTGTATTATATGCTGTATTCTTACAATAAAATAAGCTAGAGAAAAGAAAATATTATTAAGAAAATCATAAGGAACAGAGAAAATATATTTACTATTCACTAAGTGGAAGTAAATCATCCTAAAGGTCTTCATTCTCATTGTCTTCACGTTGTGTAGGCTGAGGAAGAAGAGGACTCTTGTTGCTCAAGAGTCAACTGTAGTTTGTGATTAGGGCTGTTTAATAAATCTTTCCTAGGTCATGAAGATATTCTCCCATATAATCTTTAAGAAATTTTATTCTTTTATTTTTCACATTTAGATATACAATCTACTCAAAATGGATTTTTATGTTTGGTGCAAAATAAAGGTCAAATTTCTCTTTTTTTCCCCCATATGTATACTTTTTGAGAATCTCCGCAATTTATATACATTGTTCCCTTACCTATAAGCTTTCTGTTGGAAGATGGAACACAAATATATAAACACATATATGTCCTTGCTTAGAGAAAAATATGGATATGGAGCTTGGTACATGATAGGCATTCAATTTATGTTTGTTGAATGAATGAATCACATTTATTTGGAGGTGCTGATCCCATACTCTAACCTTTAGAGGAAACTATAGGTCTCTGTTTGCCTTTTGTTCATGGTCAGTAAGGAGGAACCCCAACAAAGGCCAAAGAAAATTAGAATCCTTAAGGGATAAACAGTAGTGCTACCATGGTGGAAGCTCTTTTCCTCCCCATGGTTCATTCTCTTTCCTCCCATACAGATGACATAAAAAGACAGGTAATCCTCATTTCTAGGAGATTCAGCAAACTGGAGTGAGGATCAGGGGAAAGCAAACATAGAATATGAGTCTCACTGCCTATCACCTACACTAGTTTTCAGGAGAAAATGGTAAAATGAATTTTAAAAAATTGTCTGTAACCCCATCCAAATAGTGTAACCAGCTCCATAAGCAAGAAAATGTTTTCACAAAAATGTTTTTAGTTCCTTTATTTCAAATGAGTTTTAAGTGTTCACATTGTGGCTAGGGCTGGCTGCTCTAAGTGACCTTGACAATGACTTTTATCTCAGCCCTGGTAGATTAGCAGCTGCAGTCTCAAAATTGGCAGAAAATATAGCACTCTCGCTAAGATTTGCTGACCAGAACTTTGTAAATCTCTGTTACACTGATGCATTCTCTTTTGAGTTTCTTTCCCAGAAAGGGCAGAACCTCCTTGCAGCCATGAGATAACTACAAAGCCTCATGCCACCAGTTTGTCCTGAAAAGACAAGATAAGCAATACTCCACCACAGATTGTGCCCAAAGACCCACTGAGCCTGGGCACAAGGCTGAAAGAATGACCAATATTAACCCCTAGCTCATTGTAATACTAAAATCCCCACCCTGGGAGGAACTTATAGGCCATTTTTTGAGCATGGGACATATGTACTAACATGATTTCTCACTGCACTTGTGTGCCCTCCACCCCAAACATGTAATAATGCTCACTCCCCTCATGCATTATTCATTTGCCTCTAAAAAATCCCCTGACCATGTTGGTCGGGGAGGTGGATTTGAGGCAGTCCATACCTCCTTCTCCTGGTAGACATATCCACTATAATAAATCCTTTCTTCCTCGACAATCCTCACTGTCTCAGTAATTGGCTTTCTGTGCTGCCAGTAACATTGAACCCCTCCTTGTGGGTTTGTTAACAATTGGCATTTGGAGCAGAGGATTCAGCTAAGTAGAAGAATACATTACCGTGTTTCCCCGAAAATGAGACAAGGTCTTATATTTATTGTTCCTCAAGAAGACACCCTAGGGCTTATTTTCAGGGGATGTGTTATTTTCCCCTCAGCTTGCAGCACACACAGGATGGCTGGGACCTAACAGGGGGAGCTGACCTTGTTGGTGGGGCTGCCCACACCTTTCCGGTCACTTCTGGGATAGTAGCTGTCACGATGGGGCAGATGAGAAGGGCTGCTCGCCTTCTTTACCACTCCACGATGAAATGCTTGGGTTGTGCAGATATGCTGCGTAGCTACGCCCATCACTAGGTCTTATTTTTGGGGTAGGGCTTATATTACGAAAATGCTTAGAAATCCTGCAAGGGCTTATTTTATGGGTAGGGGAAACAAGGTAGTTGGAGTTTCTCAGCATGTGAGATCCTAAAATTATGGTCATTACCAAATAATCACACAGGATTTCATAATTAGAAATCCTGGCTCCTTTTACAAAACTAAAAAACCAAACCTTAGCGATATTTCAGTTCATTCCTATCATTTTACACAAAAGAAAGCTGAGGACCTAACAGAATGTAAGTATGTATTAGCTCCTGTTCCACTTATCTATTGCTGCAAAACAAATCATCCAAAAAAATTCAGTGGCTTAAAACAACATCGATCATTTATTATCTCTCCCAATTCTGGAGTTAACTGGGCTCTGCTGAGGTTCTCACTTGGGGTTGCTCATGCAGTTACAGCCAGATGGGAGTTGGGGCTGGATTCATCTCAAAGGCTTCTTCACTCATGTCTGGTGGCTGGAGCCTCCGCTGAGGCCATTGGCCAGATCACTATTCATGGCCTCTCCAGGTGGCCAGGCCTTCCTCACAGAATGGTGACTGGGTTCCAAGAGCATCATCCCCAAACGAACCAGGCAGAAGCTGTATTACCTTTTGTGATCCAACCTCTTATGTCACACAGCACCATTTAAACTGTAGTCACTATCCCACCCAGATTCAATGACACAGATCATAAGTCTCCATGGAAGGAGTATCAACGCTACATTGTAAGAAGAGAATATGACCTTGTCAAGACCATTTTGGAACACACACTTTGCCAAAGATTACATAGGATCCTCCTTGTAAATCCCTACCATGACACTCATCACGTGGTAAGAAACTGGCTATGTGAGACTCATCTCTTCCACTATAGTATGAGCTCCTTTAGAGGAATAATTGGATCATTAGAGTAATCTTTGTATTACTGGCACTTAGCAGATGCTCAAAAAAACAAAAAAAAAACAAAAAAAAAACCTGTTGAATCAATGAACAAATAAATGAAATTTAGTAAAAATGTTTCTAAAGTATCTATAAAAGTTACTCTAAATCACTTAAGCTGGGTCAACTTAATAGACTGTCAGCTTTTATAACTGTTATAACTTTTAAGTTTCATTAATAATATATCCTCACATTTGATTAATTTATCTTATTTAACTAAGAAGATTGCTACTAACTCAAACATTGTATCTTATGATTTATTAGCAACACAAAACACTCATCTGAATATATATTCAGAATAATTTGTAAATTTCTTTCCCTAAAAATTGGTGGGATATTTTATGACAAGCACCCTTAAAAGGAAATTTATGTAAAACACTACTATTGCTAAATATGTCAAATGAAACAGTTTAAAACCACTCTAAGAATTTAGTGTACTCAAGTACAAACATACAATTTAGAAGTATTTTTATTCGTAAATTATATATTTTTGTATGTTATTGAATATAGCCATTAAAACCTAAATTATCACTGTATAATCAACTTATTTTCTTTTTCTTGTCAGCAAATATAACCAAGATGAAATAAAATTACCTAATTCAAAGCCTGAGAATTAGTCAAGCTATTCCCTGACCTGAACAAGGCAGAGACATATTCAATGCACTGAAGTGGTTCTTTTAAGGACACCATGCCTTACAGTATACCCTTTGTACCATTTCACTACTATATCAAATATCATTAATCAGTCCTCAATCTGTGGAGACTCTATAAACAATTCTGTCAGTCCTCAATCTGTGGAGACTCTATAAATAATTCTGTTTTTTATCACATCCCTCACAAAGCATCATCATTAATCATGTATCTCTGTAAACAAGGACCAACATTCACCAGCAACACTCACCAATTAGTATCTGACCACTCTTCATTGCAGACCCTCCTGGCAGTAGGCCATGGACCACAAGCCTCTCTCCATTGCCCTGCTTTCCTGTTCTTCTCCAGCTCCACTTGGTCTGATGAATAATTCCAACCAGTACTTCCAGAAGCTTGAGTTGCTCTTTGGCTTTGGTGACAGTTAGCTTTTTGGGGTTTATGTAAACATTCACATCTTTATACCGCTGTTGGACAATGACTCCTGTCTTCTGATTGGACTGATGCTTTAGAATGGATACTGGCCCACTGTTGTTGCTATTTTTCTTATTGTGGCGCTTGGGTAAAAGTCTTTTACTTTTTAAAATTTTGGTAAACCGCTTGAGTTTGGGTTCATATTTTTTTCTTTCTTTGTAATCGTCCTCTTCAATGATAATCTCATTTTCACTGAACCTGACATGGTTCACAGTTGGTGTCTCAGGAAGGAGGCTTTCTTCTTCATCTTCACTCAGTTCCAAATAAAACAGCTCTCCATTTTTCTGCACACTGTCCAGCCATTCAGGCTCAAGGTCACTATGAAAGAGAGAAAACATAATCTGAATAGCAGCTCAACATAAGAAAAATGTTTGTCTTCCCAGCAGGACAGTAAGGGTGGAAGCTGAGGAGAAGGGAAGTGGAAACAGAGTGAAATGTCTTTATTTCAAATTCTCCTTACTATTTCTAATTTACTATGAGCATCAACATTATTTCCTGTAGGATGGTTTTTGTTGAGCCTTGAAGAATGGGAGTTGGGGAAGAGGGAATCAAAAAGGCACAGTGATATAAAGGAAAACCAGTAAAAAAGAGATGGTCTTCTTTCAGAATCTATGAGTTTTTTTAAAAAAATTAATCCAGCCATTGTGTGGCTGTTGTTCACTTTCGACAATTTTATATTGGACAAAAATTTACATCAGCAGGTGATTATGCAGTTACATCCATAGAAGCAAGCCATTTGGAAACTGTACATGAAAACATACTGCTTGCATAGAAATTATTCAGCATGGCTGTCAGGTTAAAATGAAAGTTAATGCCGACCACTGTTAATAGACTTTGTTTACATAATAAATTTTCAAAAAAGAAACATTTACCTCACCATGAACCAAAATCTTTGCTGAAAACAACCTGTTTAAGATTGCAGCTAAAAAAAAAAAAAAAAAGATTGCAGCTAATACAGTAATGATCACTTCTATAGTCTATAATTTCTATAAAACTCACTTTTATGAATAATTATAGTAGGAAAAGTAAATCACATATTACATAATTCATCATGTGATTGTAAAAAAAAGTTTTAACTGGGAAGCAGGCCATTGAAAAGCACCAAAATTACTGCTATTAAAATGATTGAAATAGCATTAAAAAACAAAAATACTTATGGTAACAAAACTAATCACGAACTACCAATGTTATGAACAGTTTATCTTTCAAATTGCTATTCTTTAAAGCAAAACTGGTTACAGTGGAAAATTAACATGTGGGGAATCTTTTCAGAAACACGAGCTGTACTGTCCTGGCCCGAAAGAGTATAATTTGTATTCTAATCATTCAATCATGATTAGTGAAATTTCTGTTTTCTACAGTGTTTATTAGCAACTCTAGTTCTTTTGCCTTACAAGTCAAACATCTCTTTCTAATGTACTATTCTATTACTCAACTCTGACAACTAACCACTGCCCTGGTCTGTGGATGGTCATTAATATAGAATTTTCAACTAAATATGAGTCACTTTTTTAAAAAAAGGCATAGCAAGCTCAAAAATCAACACTAACATTTTTGGAGGACTTTATTGTTCCAGTGCATGGCTTCACTTTAGGCAATAAGTACCACTTACTGCAGATTATTATTAACCATGTAATAGTTTTTCAACCATACCTATCTGAACCCAGATGGATCAATATTTATATAACTCTACAGTTCTACTCTTGAAAGTGTGTCCCCACCATAAACATTTATTTTTTTTTTCTTTTTATTTTTTAATTTTTCTTTTTGCTCACCACATACAACCTGAAGCCATAAACATTTAGATAACAAAAGTACCCTGATTTTAACTGTCACAATGTAAATTCCATGATTATACACAAGTTACTTATCAAGATCTATATTATCAATTTAAACAATGAATAAAGTTTATTTGCTTTTTAATTTTACCCTTTTAATCTGGTATGTTATTTGTATTAGAGTTATGTGACCCCCCAAAGAAACTTTTCCCACTTGCTAAACATGTACATTGTTCATTCCAATGTCTAAACTTTGAATGTGTAGGAAAAACATTTGAGAAACACTTAAAAATCACCAAGATTTTGAGAATGATTAGGTGAGGAGATGAGAGAGAGAGGGAGAGATTAATGTTGACTAGATTTCTAGTTGGTGACCATACTTTCATGCCTTTTATGCATATACATGCAAAGAATCATTTTATATAAATAGTAACATAATTATCAATACAAGTCATTTTCTCTTCTTACCTCTCTCTGACATAAACACTGTTAAAAATCCATGCTTTTATAATCATATAAAAACATATATAGGGTTATCTACCATTGTTTTTAAAAAGCAGCATTTTATATGTACTACAAAAGGCATATACTTAACTTTACAATTTCTCACTTAACAATATAGTTTAGAAATATCTAATGGCTACATAATATTCCCTATCAGGGACACAGCACATTCAGTCATTCACCTACTGATAAGCTTTGTGTTCAGTTTTTGCTTTTGTTTTTCCCCTACAAAGTTTTTGTTTGTTTGTTTGTTTGTTTTTTGAGACAAAAGTCTCGCTTTGTTGCCTAGGCTAGAGTGAGTGCCATGGTGTCAGCCTGGCTCACAGCAACCTCAAACTCCTGGGCTCAAGCAATCCTTCTGCCTCAGCCTCCCGAGTAGCTGGGACTACAGGCATGCCACCATGCCCAGTCATTTTTTCTATATATATTAGTTAGCCATTATTTCTTTCTATTTTAGTAGAGATGGGGTCTCGCTCTTGCTCACTGGTTCGAACTCCTGACCTCGAGCAATCTGCCCGCCTCGGCCTCCCAGAGTGCTAGGATTACAGGCGTGAGCCACCACGCCTGGCCTCCCCTACAAAGTTTTAAGAACCATCCTTATATGTATGTGTTTATATAGGCCTTTACCCAGAAGATTATACTAATTCATATTTTCACTAGCAACGTATGAGATCCATTTTTTTAACATCTAGACTGTTAAAAATATTTCATTTAAGAAGAGAAAAACATTTTAAAAAAGAAGAAGAAATTAAAAGGAAGATAAGAAAGACAGAAATAAAGACAAGCAAATGTACAAAAGAGACTCCACACAAAGAAGCTATATGTATACTGAAAAGAAAATGAGGCATTGCGGAATAGTTGGATTCAAATTTTCTTCTATTATGTTTTAACCTTTCTAAGATTGATTGATTCTAAGCTTGAGTTTTCCTCTGCTCGAAAACAGATTATAGCTACCTCACAGGGTTACCAACAGCAAATAAAATAATGTTCAGTCCTGGCATGGTAGTGCCAAATAATGTCAGTTCTCTTCCTCCTGCCTTTATTAGATGCAGCTTTTGTGTTTCTGCATTTTTCTAACTAGCATTAAATGACGATGTTTCTAATACCAGAGGCACTGCCTTTAAGACCCCTACAGTTCAGTATTCCTGGAAAGTTCCTTATTGCTACTCCAGAAGATTAATTCTTAGTTCGATAAGCAAAGACATTGGTCAATGGGTACAAAGTTACCCATTAGACAGGAGACATAAGCTCTGGTGTTCTATTGCACAGTAGGAAAGACTATAGTTATTAATACTGTATTATATATTTCAAAATAACTAGAAGAGAGGATTTTTGTTCTCAGCACAAAAAAAAAGATGAGATGATGAATATATTAAATACCCTGATTTGATTACTACATAAGGTATACATGTATCAAAACATCACATTGTACCACATAAATATGAACAATTATTATGTGTCAATTAAAAAATAAATATCATTACTGATTAGTATGTTAAGAAAGTTTAATAGGACCAGGAGTGCTGGCTCATGCCTATAATCCCAGCACTTTGGGAGGCTGAGACAGGAACACTGCTGGAGGCCAGGAATTCCAGTCCAGTCTAGACAACATGGAGACCCTGCCTCTACAAGAAAAAAAAAAGGAAATTAGCAAGGCATGGTGGCGTGTGTCTGTAGTCCCAGCTGAGCCAGGAGGATTGCTTGAGGTGTTCGAGGTTATAGTAAGCTAACATACCACCACTGCACTCCAGCCTGGGTGACAAACAGAGACCTTGTCTCTACTGGAAAAAAAAAGGAAAAAAATAAAGTTTAATAGAATTCTATTTACTATACTCTCAAACTAGTTCATCTGGTTCTTCTAAAAGAAAGTGGTTATTTTAAAAATAACAATAAAAAGAACAAAACACAATAACCCAATCTTTCATTACAACTATAGCAAAATTACAGAAATTAATATACACATATAGATACTCCCTACTCCAGGAGACAGAATTTAATCCCTCCTTGCCTTGACTGTGGACTTAGAGAGCATACTCTTCCACAGAACAGAGTATAGAAAAGGAAAAATAGTAACTTTACAGTGAAGAGACCTGGCAGACACTACTTTACTTAACCAAGTGATAGAGGTTATGAAAGGCAAGGAGGGACCAAGAAATTATTACAGACCAGACATGATGACTAGATGCAATATGATATCCTAGATTGAATACTGCAACAGAAAAGGGACATTAATGGAAGAGTAGTGAAATTCAAATAAAATTTAGAGATAAGTTAATAGTACTGACCAATGTTAATTTCTTAGTTTTGACAAATGTACAAAGTTGAGTTAGATGTTAACATCAGGGGGAACTGGCTGAAGGATTCATGGGAACTCTGTACTATCTTTGCAACTCTCATGTAAACCTAAACTTACTCCAATATAAAAAAAAATTAAAAGAAATAAATTTAGCAGTTTTAATTTAGATTTTTAAATATATGGGTCACATTTCAGTTCATTTCAATATAAATACTGTTTAACATTTTCTTAAGACCCTGCAGTACAAGCTATAAAGTTCTCATTGTATAAATGTCTTTCAATTTTCTTTCAATGAGTCTTATTTTGTTTATTTTGCTTTGCTTTAATCAGAGTAGCTGTATGTGTACAGCCTGCCTGCCAAGTGTGAGGGCACTTTAATTGGTTTTCAAGGTTGTAAATGATATGGTAAACATGAGCAGAGTCCTTCTCAAAGGAAGAGTTGCTAATATGCAAATAAACAAATCCACATACATAAGCTATAACATAAATATATTAAAGAAAATGAACTTCAGATAATGCCAATAAGTTTCACATTTCCTGATGTATTCAAGAATCATTCTAGTTTGACACTTATATCTTTTTTTTTCCTCCAACAGTTATTTGAATCTCTCAGGTCTTTATTTGCACTAACGCCAGCATTTTTCATCATTTGAAATTGTATGGCAATTTCCTTAACTACTACAAGAAAAGAATTATGAAATAGCCAGCCTTACTGGCATATTTCTTTATTTAAGGAAAACAGACATTTGCTACTATTCCAAATCTGTTACAATATTATAGCTTTCTCTCTCTTTTTTTTTTTTTTCCTTAGTAGGCAAAGCACTTTACCAAAGTAGTCAATGGATGTATTTATGTGATGCTAATAGGTATAGCAGGGCAATTCTAGGGACAGAGTAAAACCACACACAATAAAAATACCCTGACAAATTAATATGGATTGTATCTGGCACTTGTTCAGTAAACACTGGTCTGCCTATGCTTCTGTGTTTTCTTTTCTGTTCTTTGTCTACCAGTAATATTTAATTTTCACTTCTGAAGGTATTTTCTGAAGGAACACTATGCATTTTAATATTTTAAATCTATGCTGGATGCTATAGCAGCTTGAAGGGTGGGGAATCTCGAATAGGCTGACGTTCTTCTTGCCACAGTCACCACTGGAATGACTGTAGAGCATGTCGGAGAAGACGAAGGGAATCAGTCAATAAACTCACAACTGTGTATTCATTGCATATAATGAATTTCTACATCAGGAACACATCTTCACTGAAACTATGCTAAAAATTATCTCATTCCCTGGACCACATTTCCCACTTCCAGCCCCCTCACCTAAATGGGGCATTCTTATACATCGCTAAGTTATGGATATGGTCTAATCCTGGCAGAACAAAAATCAGACTAGCAAAATATTTTGTGATAGGGCTTTATTGTACTTTTAAAGATGTCGGATCAGACAGAGAGCTAATCAAATAGCTAAAATGCAAATATCAAAACTGAGGAATAAAAACTGCTATAGGAGAGTAGAGGATGGAGAAATTAAGTCTAAGAGGGATCAGAAAATGTTCTAGGAAAAGGTGGCACTTAGGTGGGACCTTGAATGATGTGACAAGTAGAGATAGGAAGAAGGGTGTTTCAGAAAGAAGAAAGTACACAAAAGTATAGGTGTGAAAGCACATAGTCGCTTTAAGAACAGATGGATACCTCAGTGTAGCAGGAATACAAGTAGCTTAAAAGAGGCAGATCAACAAAGATAAGATAGGAAAGGCTAGAGACAGACCTAAAAGATCCTAAGGAATCTGGAATTTATTTGGAAGGCCACCAAACTTTTGAGTAGAGTAGAAAAATGATTTAGAAACGTGTTTTAGAAGCAAACTCTGGTAGTTATATGGAAGAAAGATCAAAAATAGGGAGAAATTAGAAGTATCCAGACCAGTTAGAGGCTAGTCCATAGGCATATGGGAGAGAGGCTAGAGGAAAGCACTTGACAGGCAAGCACTTGATGTAAGACAGTGCCTGTGGGAATGGAAAGGAAACGAGAGGAAAGAGGGGTGTATACCAGAAAAGGAAGTCATCAGGACTGGAAACTTAGCAGATCTGAAGACATGTGTAAGGAAACAGTAATGTTAGTAAACTTATTGGAGAAAAAAGGAAGACAATGAATTCTCTTCAAACAAATTGAGCTAGAAGTAGAGAGAAATGATGGCAGGAATTACCATTTTTCATCATAAATCTAGTTATATACTATGTGTCTCTTTAATTTATATAATTTGATAAAATAAATTAAAAGAAAAAAGAAGTCAAGGTTCAGAGCAGAAGACAAAAAAGAGAAATATTATCAAACTGGATGCTAATAATATTATACCTTGAATTTCAATGAAATAATTTGATTCTTCAAGTGGTATATTCCCATGTTAAAATCCAAGAGAAAGATATATTTTGGCATTCCTACACATCACTAAATTAGGGATACAATCTAACCCTGACTGAACAAAAATCATAGACCAGCAAAACGTCCTGTGATAGGGCTAGTAAACAACAGAATCCTCTCAGAAAAAAATGAACTATTAATGTAGGCAAAGATATGGGTGAATCTCAAAATAACTATACTTGAATAAAAGAAGGCAGACAAAAAAGTCCATACTACCAATCCCATTTTCATAAAACTCTAGAAACTATAAAGATGTATGGTAACAGAAAGCAGAAAAATGGTTGTGAGGAATGAGGGGCATTCCCTCATTCCTTCTCCCTGAAGGGAGAAAAATCTTCCCCTCAGAGGTTTTTCTATCACCAAGGGAACAGTCTTAGGGAGGCACAAGGGAGATTTCTGGGCAAGATGGATATGTTAATTATCTTGACAGATGTATATATGTCGAAACTTATCAAATTGTACACTTTAAATATGTGCAGTTTTTTTGTATATTGATTATACTTCAATAAAGCTGTTTAAAAAAATCCTAGAAAAAATTTAAGGGACATAGTTCCCTTCTTCTCCAATCAATCCTCTTGTTTTAGGTAGAAGTTCCTTAACTTTTTACAGTTATATCACATTTAAAATTATTCCTCTTTCTCTCCAATAGCCCTAGTAAACAAAATTTCAATAATTTTCCAAAGGATATTATATTATTTTATTAGACTGTAATTTCACCAGATATTACGAGCATTGAGGACAGGATAGAGAGAGTGAATGAGAAATAAAAAAAATTTTTTTTAAGAAATAAAAATGTATTAAAAAGAAAAGAAAAAGTTGAAGAGGGAAAAAACTGAAATTATACTTTTTCAAATTGTTTTGCAATTACATATGACATAGGAAATGTCTTTAATAATAGCAAATTGAAAATAGAGACTTCATCTCAAAAAAAAATTTAGTTCTTCTTCAACAGTATGTTAAAAACCTGACTTGAAAATCAAATTTTATAAAAGTAAAATGACCCCATAAGTCTTAATATAAAAGCTTCAAAAAATTAAGAATCTAAATAATAAAATTGACAACTTTCTGGCCAACATGAACTAATGTTGCTTTAATAAACTGGATAATTAGAGATCAAAGCAAAGAAACTTGGTATTATTGCAAGTAAAGGTACGATTCTCATTATCTCAATACTACAATCAATCAATGGCTCCTTCAACCCAACCCCACTCACCAGTATTAGCTGTGAAGCCTCCCAGGTGATGAGCCTATGTGCCAGGTTAAGACATTCTGCACCAATCTAAAGCCTTCTTTAACAAGCCTAAAACAAACTATTGAAACAGCTCTAACACAATGTACCCTAATGTAAGTTACCTCAAAAATGATAAACTTTTAAATTCTGTATTAACAACCACATGCAGTTCAGCTATGAAGCATGTATGAAACAATAATAACTTTGAAAAAAGAACATGTAGTTAACTAACAAGAACCTTGAAAGTTGAGGGCATTTTATGTGAATCGATACGTAGTATAACTTTCTTAGTAAGCTTCATGCAAGTGATGAAATATAATAGGTAATTCTTATCTTTTTGTTTTGATGAGAAAGATTAAGGTTCACATCCCTAAGTACTGGATTAGAGAGTGATTCTGTCCAACCCAGAAAGGGCACCATTTGTATTGGTGACTGTAGCTTAGGGAAGTAAACACTTAATACCATAAGGGAGGAACACAATTTAACCCTCATGTTCTACAAATGAAGAAGGGGCAGACATAAAACATGAATCATGGGAAGACTTGAAATTTAGACCAGTAAAACATTTTACAATAGGGATTTAATATATTTTTACTATTAGGAGGATAAAGGTACTTGGAGTGATTAGTGAGTGACTGATGTAGAAAGCTTAATGATCATTTTTTAAAAGCGAAAACATCATACATACATACATGTATTGTGGATCATGAAATATTTGGAGCAACAAGTTTTTCTATCACCAAAGTCCTCTTACTGGTCCTAGGAAACATAATTAGCTCATTTATTTTCATCCCATCAAAATTAGGGTGTCCCATTAGAAATCAGGTATCTTGAATTTCTACACTGACAACACTCAGTTGTGTGACCATGTGCACATCATAGATTTTGGGTGAAAGCGTAGTACTCTAACATATGAGAAGCCAAGAGTTTGAGTTTTATACTGCCTGCAACTTCTCATATCAAGACCAAATAAGGTTCTATATAACTCTTATTTCCTTCCAGCAGTTTCTTTTAATAATCATGAATTTTTAAATTATTTTTTAAATGACCACAGCAGGTTACAAAAATATTTGATATTCTTAAATTTGTTCAAGTCATCAAAAACACAATCTATCCTTATTAAGTCCCTGGCATGTATTAAGCAGGTTTCTCCAAAATGGAAATAACACTTAGATATTTGTATTTTAAAAATTAAATTATGACATAAAATAGAAAACAAGAAAGTCATGGGGATTTACAGAAAAATATAGCAGAAATGCTGAGAGGTTGTCCCTGATAAGACACTGGGCAAATATTCTTTCTGTTATATAGCTATTCATTTCCATAATAGGAAAAAAAATCTACATAATTTAAATAATAGCCTTATAAAATGTGCGGGGTTTTCCTCCACTCAATATTAATGAGGTTAAGTCACAAAGATCATAACATCAGAGAAGCAGAAAGACACTGCAATAGGAACAAAGAGTTTATGAACAACCTAACAGATAGATCCTCATAAAGCATAGAGCCCATCACAAGGAAAAGACCTTTCTAATCCGAGAAACATAAAAAAACTAGTTTTTTTTTTAATGCAAAGAATGGTATTTCTGCTCACAACACCATACATCTGAAACGTGGTGTAAACAAACCCCTTTTATAGAACCACAAATACTCAATTCCAACCGCCAACACCCTTGCAGTACCCCCAACCCACGTGTATACTCTGCAGGATGAAGGGATGGATTCAATTGTCCCTCTTCGAGAACCTTACTCATAATCGCTACTCGCTGAAGAATATGAGTCCGAGTCGCTGGCCTGATCTTCAGAATCACAATACTGATCTTCTTGTGAAGAGGGGTCTCCAGGAAGCTCTTCTGGGCTCGGATGTGAATCGCACAAAGCCGGAGACGCCATCGTTAGGGAAGCGGCAGCCACAACTAGAGTAACTCAAATCTCTCAGGGCCGCCACGCCAGGGCCGCCATATTGCCTCCGCTTGGGGGAGAGACAGAGGCCACGTGACTACCAATCCTTAGCTGCAATTGGTGGCAGCTCGGGTTGCCAGGGAGACGGGGAAGCTTCCCAGAGAGCTGAAAGGAGCCAATGAGATGAAACTTTGATGAGGGCGTCTCAGTTGGAAGAATGGAAGTAGCTTAAACTTCAGGGCTTACGCTTCCCTAAACGCTCTACCTTAGAGCAGCATAACTTACTGTAACAGGCGGAGACCCACTGTTTTTTTTCCCCTTTGTCTTCCGGTGCTGGATATCTTCTACTTTGCACTATGTCCTGTGTTTCTATGCAGAACAGGTGGCTGTCCAAAGCCTTAGTTAGAGGCGCTAAGCCTGGGTTTCCCTTTAAGTCAAGGAAACTACCCCTCTACCTTTTCTTGGGGCCTCATCCGCGCAAAGCATGGACGCTTTTAAGCAAGGCCAACTAGGTGTTGATGTAAATACGTACCTGTTCCTTTAGCTTTTCATATTGTTTCGCATTTTTACAGTTCTCCCAAGCAAGTATTATAGAGTGCATCAGATGGGTGGCAATATTGCAAAATCAACTTAAAGTTCACTTTCAAATTCAAATTTTAGAATCTGATGAAATGTTCTCATCACTGAACTTGGAAGTGGAAAAATAAAAATTTACCTGTCATTTATGAATATCTACATCAAGTATTTTTTTCTAAGTACAAAATAATAGATAGCATTGATTGAGTCAGCTTTTGCTCTAATTACTTGCTTTATTCATATACAATACTAAGTATCCCCATAGTAGGAAGTAAATATTTTCTGTATATTCAAATAAATTGAGGCTTAGAGAAGTTATGCATCTTGTTAATGGTTACATGGCTAGCAGGCAACAAAACAACCAAGAAATGAATCTAAGTCATTAACCACTACGCTAAATTTCTTCCTCTGGACCCAGAAATTCCACTATTAGAGATCTAGTCTAATAAAAAAGATGCAAATATAAAATATGTAAAAGTGAAAAGCTGAAAGCAATCTAAAAATGTCCAATAGGGGAAAAGTTAAATATACTTTCATGTATAAAATATGATAAACACTATGATTTTTTTCATTTTGAAAAAAAATTTCAATAGATTTAGGGTTAAAAGTGGTTTTTGGTTACATGGATGAACTGTATAGAGGTGATGCCTGGATTTTTAGTGTACCCATCACCCAAACAGTGTACATTGTACCCAACAGGTAATTTTTCTTTCCTCATCACTCTCCTACCCTCCCTCCTCTGAGCCTCCTCTGTCCATTTATAGCCCTCTATATGCGTCTGGGTACCTACAGCTTAGCTCCCACATATAATTTTAAGTAGAAATGTTTTCAAAGAGCAATAATGCATGGAGGAAATGTTCATGTTACAGTGAGTAACGAAAGGATATAATGTTATTTTATGATCTCAATGTCTGGGTGCTAGGGATTCAACTTAAACTAGTTGGGCAGATGGTGGAGACGGAAAGACAATTGGGTAATTATAACATATAGTGATAAGTATTATGATAAGTATTATGATTAAATACAGGGTTCTGATGGAACACTCAGAAAAAGCCAAACTAGCATATGTGGGGCCACAGCAAATTTCTTACAGGGAGTCTTAATTTATTTTGCTATTATGGGATGGTTCCAACAAACAAGAGTAGTAAGCGATGAATTATCATGTGGCCCATGAGAAAATATGCATGGAGAACTCAAAAGAACCTGGACAGTAGCAGTTGTAGGGGTGGGAAAACTCCACCTCCATTCTCTTAGGGTGCCAGATGTGTCTGAGAATTAAATTGACATAAAATAGGTTAACAGGAGAAAAGCATAATACAAGTTTTACGTGATAAGGGGGCCCTCATAACGAAATGAAAACCTAATGAATCAGAGTCAGTTACTTCTATGTTGGGTTGGACAAAGAATAATTAGTTGTGAAAAAGCAGCTAAATTATGTGGGGAGGCTTAAAAGATAAGTTATTTTAACAGGATCTGTACAGAATTCTCTTTGACTTCTCATCCTTGAGTATAAGAATGTTGCATCTTTCTAGTATTGGTGGAGTGTCTTTCAAATGGGAATTTCCTTTTCTGATTTTAAGAAACAGCACAAAGGTTAAAGTGATCTTTTCACACTTGCTGTTTTTCAAATGTATTTAACTTAAATAGTATGTCAAGATAGTACATTTTAACCCCCTCATAGTCAAACAATAGTCAAACATCATTTATACTATTAAGCTGCAATTTAGTTTCATCTATCACATTAAATTACATACATTGGAATTTCCTATGTTTTATTTGTACTTATTTCTAAATGTACTTTTTATAGTTTTATAGCAGCTATTGACTTTTATTTTTTTAGTTTATTTGTATTCATAAATTGTTTTTATCTTATGCAAGAGCTGTAAAGCACAGTTTACACTTCATTTGCTAAAAATTATAATAGGGGCTAGGTGTGGTAGCTCATGCCTATAATCCCAGCACTTTGGGAGGCTGAGGCAGGAGGATCTCTTGAGCCTAGGAGTTTGCGACCAGCCTGGGCAAGATAGCAAGATCCCCATCTCTACAAAAAAAATTAAAAAACTAGCTGGTATGGTAGTGCACATCTATAATCCCAGCTACTTGGGAAGCTGAGACAGGAGGATCACTTGAGCCCACGAGTTGGGGGCTGCACTGAGCTATAACATAAATAAATGAATGAATAAATAAATAAATAGTTTAAGTCATTCCTGGAAATCCACAAGAGTTTTTTCCTTAAAGGATATATATTACTCAAGTTGGAGAACAGATTAGTTTGTAAAGGGATAATGGGCAAAGGGAGGTCCTTGAATGGCAGGAAGGAATAGCACCCAAGGCACAGATGGTGGGATATGACCTCCCTGGACACCTCTTCCCTAAAGTGAGAGGGAAGGGCCAAGGAGGGTGCTGATGTGGATCCTGGCTTGCCAATTTTAGGCAGGAAGCTGAGGCAGTCTCCATGTGATGCATTTATTGTCTCTGGACCTTGCCAGTTGAAAGTGATGGAGGAAGTAATGAGGTCAGCAGTTTGAAGAGACTGGAGCCAGGAAGGAAGGGAAACAAATATTTCCACCAGCACTGAGATCCAATAAAAATGTATTACTTTTAAAATCAGAGAAACAATATTATTTTTAAAAGTTGGAGTCACTATAATAGTTATTTTATGTTTCATGGTAAAACATATGTACTTACTCTCACCACAATCTCAAACATTAAAATTACTTAAGATCCCATTCCAAAATAAAAAATGCTTTAGGCACCTCTTTAATAAATTAGCCTTTCCTCATTTTAAAGTGGCTTATCAAAAGTAGAAAAAAAGAAAAGGACATTTTAAATTTTAGCAAAATACTATTTTCTTCCTACAAATTTTTCCTCCATTTTTTTCTATAAACATCGGATAATTTCCTACCCTGCTTCATAAACCTTCAATGGGACTTTCTTAAATAGAGAATAAAGTCCAAACTGTATAACCTCTTTTTAAAAGTTTTTTTCAATTCTACAAACAAATGACCATGATTTAGGAGTTAGATGCCTTATATGCTGCTATATTTTAATCAAGTTAATCAAGTCGATCAACTTGCCTAATTAAAAGAATCACCTGGAGCTTGTTAAACATACAGATTTTGAGGCCCTACTCCACATCAACAGGATCAGAATCTGCAGGGAGGGCCCCTGGAACTCTCTATTTTAAAAAAGTGCCTCCAGTGATTGAGTAAACTTGGGAAACTGCCCTAAATTCTGTGCTTTATACCTGCAGTCTCTCCGCCATCTCCTGTGTAGGATGGAGCCCACTCTCCTACCTCCTGATTTTGAGCCTGGAAGATTTCTCCAGAATCCCTGCTCCAGAATCCATAATCTATTTGGCCTTGAGCAAACCAGCTTCTCGCCAAGCTTCACTTTCCCTATCTGTAAATTCAGATAGTGGTAGTTCACAGGAGTGTTTGGAATCCAAGGAGTTAATGCATGTGAAATACTTCCTGCATAAAGTGTCAATAAAACTTAGCTATTTTGTATCATTTACTCACACAGTTCTCTTACTGTAGAATGATATTTATCCAAAATTTACTTCTTGAAATATTACATATTTCTTTAAGACCCAATTCAAACAGCACCTTTTTTCTGTATTCCTGCTTATATTCTGGATAAAAAAAAAACAACAAACAGTAACTTTTCCATAAAGCCTTCCTAGACACCTCTCCTACCTCAGTAAGAATTACTTTTACTACCTTCTCCTCATAATATAGTCCATATATCTAATATGGGTCTTACATCTAAATTATTTAGGAAAATATCTATCTTTGCCACCAAATGACAATCTCCTGGATGACATGACTGGGTCTGTTTTTCTTCTTCTATCTTTTACCTTTCACAGGGTTGAACTGGAGTAAAAAAAATAATAACATATAAAACATTTTAATTTTCAGGTTGTGGTATTAGCCAGTCATATTTCTAACTTTACATATTATATCTCTACTACCCTTACTAATATTTAATAATTTTAGAATATTAGAAAAGATTTAGAAAGTAAAATAATAAGATGCCATTTTTTATAGGCCTTTTTAAAAAAGCCTTTATAAGAATACTCTTCTTCTGTTTCAGAATTAGCAATTGCAAGACGACTTCAAAGATTTAGACTGGAGTATATTTTCATTTTCTACTTACCACTACACAAATGACCAGCCATCTTCTGAGGCCCAAATGTGTTTGGTCATAAGGTCTTTATTTCCATAGATAACCATCTCTTAGACAAACAATACAATTCTGATATAAAATACACCAGATAAGAACATAATTAAACATTTAGTATCTTTAGCAGGTTCAGGAGCTCTTTCTCTAGCAGTAACAGAAGCTAGCAATGAGAAGTAAATGAAAATACGGCCATGGGAAGTCATGTTTATTAACAACATTTAAATTGCAAGGTAAAAATTCATGTAATGGAGTTTTGTTAGGAACTAATTAATATTGCCTTAATTGTTAACACAGAAATACTACTTTATAAACTATGTGTTAATAATGAAAACCACAATTATTTTTTAAATCATGCATAGATAACTTGGTAAACCAGCAAAATAGCATTTTCAAAACTGAGTCTTTATAAGGTGGAATTTTTCAAATTTAAGATAGTCATAATATATAAAAATAACATTTCAGCAATCTTAAAATTTATAAAATTGCATTATGGTCCAAAATTCTAATTTTCCTATGTAAAACTTGAATTACTTGTTAAAATATATGGAAGTGTCCTGTTAAAAGATTATGTATTTTACATTTAAATAGGAAAAGAATACAGATGAGTATCCAGGAGGAAGCGTAAGAATAACTACAGCAGATGGCACAAAGCTCAAGCCCAAAACTCAAGTCATTTACTCCTACTTATCCTTCATTTTATATCTTCATTTACAAATTATGACAAATTTGGCAAACTGTTCTACCACTATAGGTTAGTAGTTGCCAACCAGAAGGAAAAAAGGCCCTCTTCAAAGCAAAAATACAACAGCCACAGAAATTGTTGATGGCTGAGATAACCTGCTGATGAAAAGTAGACAAAAAGCAGACACAAGAATTAGAAAAAACCCCATAGCTTA